GCCCCCCGGGGGGCCCCAGCTGGATAAAAAAAGAAAACAAAGCCGCCAAAGAGGGGAAGGGGGGCCCCCTTGGGGTCCCCTGCCCCTCTTTGGCCCGTCTCTTTTTCTTCTTCTTCTTACCTTCAGTGCCTCCTGCGTTTCCCTGCAGCCGCCTCTGCGGTGGTTGCGAACCACACAGTACACGCGGCACTCTGGTTTTCGCTGCTGCTTCGGCTTACGGTTTCGCTGCACTCGTAGCCTGCACAGACCCCAGCATACGAAACAGCAGCAGCAGGTGCAGCAGCAGCAGCAAAAAGGTGTGCAGCAACGGCGGGCGCCGCAGCAGAAGCAGCAGCAGCAGCAGGCGCTGCAAAAGCAAAATAGCTGCAGCATTCACGATGTTTGGCTGTAAACTGCGGGTGCAGTAGCAGCATCACTGCAGCTTATAGCAGAGTGGTAGCAAATGTGGCTGCCCAGCTGCAGCAGCAATACTGCACCACCACATTCCTGCTCCCGCTGCCCTTGCTGCTACACATGCTGCTGCTGCTGCTGCATCTCTTGGAGCTACCTCTATCTTCGTTGCTGCAGCTGACGCTCCACTCACGCTGCCGCTGCCAGGGCTGCTAAGGAGCCCGCTGTAGCAGCAGCCACGTGCGCAACTGCCGCTGCTGCTGCTGTTGCTGCTGACCTTTTGCTGTCTTTCATTGCTAGAAGAGCCTTTTTGACGAAGTACTGCGCGGTCTTCACTTCTGGCCTGTGGGCTTTCTTCCGTGCCTGCAGTAGGCCGGCAATCACATGCAAACCGAAGTGCTATTTTGTTGTTGCTGCTGCAGCTGTTTTCCATTTTGCTGCTGCAGCCTCCATGCTTCTTCTGCGGCTTCTCTTGCAGCTTGCGCTGCTCTGGCAGACAGTCCTCGACGGCTCGAGTTGGGGCCGCGCCAGCCGCAGCGGTTGCCGCAGCCGTGGCAGCAGCAGCAGCACACGGCAGCCGCTGCTGCTGCCACGACCAGCATCCCACTGCTGCTACCGTTGCTGCTGCTGCTGCTGCTGCTACGGACTATGAGGCTAGCGGCCCACGTGCAGGAGCTCCCTACCCTCTTTGCCTTGGCCAAGGCCTCCGCCCGCTTCGCCCGAGATTCCAGATCTTGCCGCCGCTTGCGCAGCACTGTCTCTGCTATTTTGAGGGGCTGGCCTTCTACGCGGGGCCGCAGCTGCCCGCGGGCGCCGCCCACTTCCTGCAGGTGTTCCGTGCCCTTTGTCATTGCTGCGCTGACTCGCTTCGGCCCGCAGGTGCTTCCGCTGCAGCAAACAACGCTGCTGCTCCTTCAGACCCAACCCGCAGCAGCAGCAGCAGCAGCCGCAAACGCGCCCCAAGCAGCAGCCGCTGCGCGGGCTGGAAGGACCTCTGGGGGCTTCTGCTACTCTATGGGCTATGGAAGGCTACAGCGAGGCAGCACAGCTCAGCAGCAGCGGATGTAGGTGCCTACGTGCCACAGGGGAAGAAACAAAAGATTCCAACCTTCTTGAAGCTGGAAAGGCAAACTGCCACAAGTGGGTCTTCGAGGCCCTTCAATAGTTAGGGGCCCCCGACAGTGCTGGACGGTGGGGGACAGCGGACAGCCACAGGGGCCCCCTGACCATGAAAAGTAACTCAGGGTTTGAAATAAAGACGCATTAAAGGGTAAATGAGACGTGCTCCTTGGGGCCTCTTCCCTTGCTGCTGGTGACATCTACACAGGCCTTGCTGCAGGCTGCCTGGCAGCCCCTGCCTGGGGCCCCACAGCAGCATGCAGCAAGGTGAGACACCGTCCATTTTAGGCCTTCTTCTGCTGGCTTGCATTCTTTTACGTGATTTGTGCTCCTTCAAGGCGTCTGTGTGCTCTATTAGCGCTGAGGCTCACTGCCCTGGCTGCTGCTGCGCTGGCGCCGCTGCTGCTGCTGCTGCTACAGCGAAACATTGCCCACTGGGAAGATGGCGGGTCCACAGGGCCCGAAGGCAGCCCAGAACTTGAAAGGACAAAGGCCCATCTCAAAATCGGAAGCGGATCCCGGGGCTACGGGGCAGATTAGGGAGGGGCTGGTCACTTTGGAGACCCCCCCCGGCGAGTCTGTCTTCTTTAACCCTGCTCAGGTCTTCAACAGGGACCTGTCACTGCTTGTCCTGAAGGCCTTTGCATGCAAGCAGCAGCAAGTGCTCAAGCAGCGTTGTAAGAATCCGGCCCAGCCGAGGCAGCTAGCCAGCGGTGCCATAGCTAGGCGCTAGTTAGCTAGTTATGCGACCCGCCCCGCTGCAGCAAGCAGCAACGGCAACGCCAAGACCATCGCGCTTCTTTCGCGCGCGTAGCCAGCGTTTCATTGCCTGTGCTGCTGCTGCTGCGTTCCCCGCGGCTGCTGCGGCTTCTGTTGACACAGCGAAACGTGGTTTGCTGCTGCGCCGCAGCTGCTGCAACTTTGGCTCGCTGCAAGGCGGAAGGCCGGCCCGAGCCCCAGCCGTTGGAGTTCGTGGGATTTAATGTGCTGGAGCCCCTGGCAGCAACAGGTGGGCCTGGGGTCTAGCAGCAGAGCAGCTCTTGTATTTGTTTGTGTCTCTTGCTGCTGCTGCCTCTCCATGTCTTCCTTTGTGTTTTTCTGCCCTCACTTTTCTGCGGCTGCCTCGACATTTCTTGTCTCTTATTTGCCTGTTTTCCGTCTGTGTTGTTCCGGGCCTTCGCGGCTTGACTTTTCCCCCCTCAGCTTTCTTGCTGCTGCTGCTGCTGCTTCCCGCTTGAGTGGCCTCTTGGCTGTTGCGCGGCCTCTTGCCCCTTCTTGTTTGTCTCCTTTTCTCCCCTTGTTGGGTCCTGAGCTTCTACCAAGCCCCTGCCGCTGCTGCTGCTGGCTGCTTGCTGCTTGCCCTGCGGGTTGGGGATTTTCTGAAGGCCCTATAACCCAGCGGGCTCGCCCCTTCCTGCTGTGGGCCCCGGGTCTTCTTTCAGTGAGCCCCTGTGCGCGTTGCATGCATGGGCCTTCTAGCTGCAGCAGCAGCGGCGCTAGCACCAGCAACAAGAGCCGCAGCAGCGCAGCAGCGACGGGAGCAGCAACAGCGCCCTTCGCTGCACGAGGCTGCCCCTCGTGCTGCAGGGGGCTGCAGCTGAACCCGTTTTTTTAATCATTAAAGGCAGCAAATGTTGGTGCAATTTTGCCGTAATATTATAGGAATGGCCCACATTTAAACTTTGTGCTTTCGGCCCTCAGGCCTCCGCAGCCTGCGATACCTCAAGGAGCTGGGGCCCCTTGTGGCCTGCGCCGTGGCCAACGACTTGGACCCAGAAGCGGCTGCAGCAGCAAGGGCCAATGCGAAATTGAATGAAGTTCCTCAGCAGCGTTTCTTGGGTGTGCAGGTGTATCTGGGTGGCCTTGTTGGCCTTGGTATTGGCTGTAGATGTGTCTTACGGCCTTCACTCCCTTTATTCTTTTATATTTAATCACACATTATGTTCATTTTCTGGTTTTTATTCTCCTGTGAAGCCTCTCGTTGCCCCCGTGCGCTGCTGCGTTGCTGCTGCAGCAACTTGCAGCGAGGCGACGCGCCTGATGCACCTGCTGAGCCATCCCCCGCTGAGCGCTGGGACTCTAAAGAAGATTAACAGTTTGCCAGCAGGGGCTTCAGTCCCTTCTTCGTTTGACCTCAGCTGCCCCCCGGAGGAGCTGCTGTTGGTGCCACCACTGTTCAAGCCTGCTGCTGCTGCGCCAGAGGCAGCAGCAGCAGGCGCATCAGCAGCACCCGTTGCTGCTGCTGCTGCTTTGAAGGAAGGCGGAGCTCCATTTTGGTTCGACGTAGTGGACATCGACCCTTACGGGAGCTGCTCCCCCTTCTTAGACTCAGCAGTGGGGGCTGTGCGCAGCGGGGGGCTCTTGTGCGTCACCAGCACTGACACCAGCACTCTTGTGGGCAACGCCTTGGAAACCGCCTACTACAAGTACGGGGGAGCCACGGCCAAGATGAGTGCTCACCACGAAGTGGCAGTGCGGTGAGTCTGCGCATGCGAGGACGCTCCAGTGGGATCCCTCAGCGAACCCCCCCAGCTACGTACTTCTCGCGGGGCGGATGGCTGCTGATTTTTCTAGCGTGGCAGGGAGCCCCTACGGGCTAATATGAGCTGTTAAGAGCAGTGCCAGCTGTAGGCTATTCCACATCAACAGGGCGTTTCTGCTGCTTCTGCTGCCGCCGTTACTGGTGCTGTTGATCCTGGAAGCACCTTCCCCCACAGCGGCTGCCCTCTGCGTGGTATGGCTGTGCTCCTGTTTGTCTGCGGTCAGCGTCGTCCTTCATGCCGTGGCTCAGGCTGCAGCAAAGCAGCGCAAGGCAGTGCAGCCGCTGCTCTCCCTGAGCGTGGACTTCTACGTGCGCCTTTTTGTGCGCGTCGTTGAGTCCCCAGAGCAGTGCAAGCAGCTTCACCAAAAGGAAGCCATGGCAAGTTGGGATTGCTGCTGCTGCTATCGCTTTTGCTGCTGCTGCCCACGAGTATCAGCCCTAAGCAGAAGGAACAACAGCCAAACAGTGTGTGGGACTACTATCAAACATTTCATCAACTCCAAGTTCCTGTTTAAAGCTGCCTAATCGCGGTGAACTCTGCGTGACCACCCACAGAAAGCTGAGGCCTTTGTTTTTCAGATCTTTCACTGCCCTTCCTGTGAGGCCTTCACAGTGGCCCCCTTAGGCAACCAAGCCCCCAAGTCGCGAAAAGTTAAGGGTTCGGGGTCATCTGGCCACGCTGAAGATGCACAAGGACAGAAGCAGGTCCCTTCATCTCAGGGAGAAAGTGCACAAGCCGCTCCTGTGGGGGAGAACGCTGGCAACAGTAACAGCTACAGCAGCAGCAACAGCGGCAACAGCAGCAACAGCTCTGGCAAGGAGGAACAAGTTGCTGCAGCAGATGGCATTAGACTGAAGTACAAGGCAGCGAGCTTGCCTGATGGCGTGGGAACCCAATGCAGTGAATGCGGAGGCCGAGTTCTATTGGGGGGCCCCATATACTCCGGACGGTACTACGACCCGGTGAGCTTCTTGTGACCTTTGTGTAGAATTGAGGATGGCCTAAAGGTGGGAGTGCTTTTAAGAGTTGTCTTTAGCCCATATAGGTTCATAGGTGACACTTGTAGCTGCTGTCTAGACCTGTGTGTGGTGTCGTGGCAAGAGTAAGAGGCCCTCACCTGCACTTTTCAGCTCTACTGAGCTGAAGTTTGGCTCATTTTGAGCTCGACAGTAAGTACTAGCAAACAGGCATGTTCCAGGAGGGGTCATTGCGCTTGCTGACTACAGCACGCGATCGCCGGGTCCCCCCCGCTGCAGCAGCAGCAGCAGTAGCAGCAGCAACGTCATTGAGAGCAGGGGCATTTCTAGAAGCATCCCTTTTGGCAGCACTAACAGCAGCAGCAGAATGTATGGTGATGTGCGAATGCCTTCAGGAGTTTGTGGACCTCTGTCTGGAGGAACTAGACAAGTCAAAGGAGACCCTTCCTGGGCTCACAATGCAGACGCGTATAAGGGGAATGCTAACTGCTCTACGAGAGGTCTGGTACCTTTCTTGAATACACAAGTTTTGTATGCGCTCTATGGTTCCAGCAAATTAAGGAGCTGTAGCTAAACTAGAAGGAGCCCCGCTTAGGCCTGGCGATCTGGCGCGGGATGAACACCAGTGGCAGCTGCTGCGTTGCCTGGGCATGCATGAAAACCGCAGGAGCTGCCAGACGTGCCGCTGCATTATCAGCTGCCTTCGCTGTGCACGCGCAACAAGCTCACGATGATAAAGCCTGCATCATTCATGTGGGTTTCTCTACGAATTTTTGGACCCCCCGGACCTCTAGGCATTGACTTAGGCGCACCGAGATCTTTGTTTTATCATTCAAGCCGATAAGTTAGAGTGTCGTTTTGCTGCAGAAACAGAGGCCGTCACGCTTGAGTGTATTTGTTCGTTTAATTTGCTGGCTGCATTAGCCGCAGTTTCTGTGTCGGTCTGCTTTGGCGAGGTGGGGCTCCGCAGGGCTGCACTTAGGCGGCTGGGCTACAGGGCATCTCATTTCCACCGCGATCCCCAGGCCGTGAAGACCGACGCGCAGTGTGTCGTCGTCTTCGACATATTGCGCACTCACGCTGCCAAGAGCACGTCGGCAAACCACGAGCGTTTCCCCGTGCTGCGGAAGCCCATTCAGTACGTCTCCCTGAGCCCATACTTCAGACACCCAGCCAGAGGCCCGATCACACTGAGATTCTCTTTTCCTAATTCGCATTTTCGTGCATTCCTCTATGCAACAAAGACACCCAAGAACAACAAACACGTTCAAACAGGCGCAGATACAGAGGCACACATCCCCACAAGCAGACTCCACAGCTCGGCCTGGGCTAATTTGTCTAGGGAGGGCGTTGCTGCCACTATTGCAATTGTGCATTCTTACCAAAGGTTTAAGGCTCTGGTTTGAGAGCGTAGGGTAAAGGGCTGAGTGTTGTTTCCGGCGAAAGCGTATCTTCTAGGACAAGGCTGCAGCTGCTGCGTTTCACAGGACAAAAGGCATAGACTTGTCCCCTCCAACCGCTGAAGAAAACAAAGCACAGCCTAAGAAGCATGTGGCCCGCTGGCTACCTAACCCGGCTCCATATTGGGGGCCTAAAGGCCGAGCGGGAAAGCGACGGTGAGACTTATGCAGCGACACCTGGAAATCACGCTGCCAAGCAGGCTGCTGCCTGCTGCTGCTCCGGGCAGGGCTGCAAATTCCTTTACAGTTATCGCCAGTGCTATTACGGCAGCCGGTACTGTTGCGTTCTGCCAAACAAGAATAATCACACAAGCAGCGAGGCTCAGGCTTTTTGGCTCGACCGTCTGTCTCTGGAAGTATAACCATTTTGAGGGGAAATTATCTGTACTGCGGCACAGGGCGGAGACTGAAGAGAAGGACACCACTGTAAAGAAAAATTGTCAGAAGGTCACCGTCCATGGCCGCCAGGAAGCCCAATCCGCGTCTAGTGAAGGGGTGGAGGCTGTCAATACGTCAGAAGATTTGAACCCCTTGCTGTAACCTCTGCTGCACTTTGCAAGGACACTTCTTCTACTCAGCCTTTCTTTGAAGGTCCTGGGGCATTACGGAACAGGCTGTTTGTTGCCTTTCTTGTCGTTTTCTGACGAACAGTTGTCCTTGTGAATGAAAGTGCATTTTTTGCCACCTGTTGTTCCTGAGTAAATTCCGAAAATGCTGCTCAACACAGGGGCTGCTTTAGTAAAGCAGTGCGTAGGAACAATCAGTTGCAAGTGCCACTTTTAAGAGGCGTGTGTGGGCCTCCCTCTTTGCCAGCCATTCGATCTTGAGCTCGCTAAGGCACACTGGATCTCTTCTGGGGCACCTAAAGACGGTGATTCCCCGAATATGGTCGCAGTTCTTTTTACTGCTGAGGCTATTGAGGCTGCTAGGCCTCCTGCAGCCTCAGCCTGTTAGAGCCATTGGAGGGTATGTCGCTATGGGTGTACGTTGCCGGTTGACCTTCAAGCGCTGTCGCGTGTCACTGCCGTGCCGCTGGTACAACGGAACCCACAACTCCAATCTATTGACAGAGAGCTTAGTGCTGTCGGTGTCGTCCTGCAGGCGGGAGTTTAGCTTGGTCCGAATTATTTTCAAGCACATTTGTGTAGAAGATACACGCTTTTTCGCAGATTTTAGTGAGCTCAGAGGTTTCCTACCGGGGCAAAGCCCCTACGAAAACCAACGTCAACACCAGGTGTATCGGCTGCAGCTGAGGAAAGATAGGAGTTACTGCTATATAATTTCCTCATTTTAAGTCGATTGAGAGGTTATTTCAATATGTAACACGTGTCGGATGTCTCTGGGTAAGGTACTCTTTTGCAACGGCCCGTTGCAGAGGACCAATGGGTACAGTAAGGGAGTGTGCTGAGCGGTGTCCATGGCTGCAGTGGGGGCCCTGGCCCCGTGAAATTTAATCACAAAATTTACAACTATCTATTACGTGCAAGCTCCGCATTTCTTTTTAACTTTGCGTCTGTTTTTGTCCTCTCCTGCCTTGCGTGGCAGCAATTTGACCATGCGCTGAAGTGACCCTGGGACTCCCGCCGGCAAACCCCCAGACTCAGGACCTTGACATCAAAAACGATAGGCAAAAGAATTCTAATATTATGGAGAATAAGTTCAACATCACAAGCGAACAACATCTCCCAGCAGAGACCCCCACCGCTCCTTCTAGACGTAACAGAGCTCATGCCAATGATGATTCACCTACAGAAGTCGTCGAGACTCCTACACGTATGACACCCTCTCACGGGTCTTCTACCCTTGGAAACCTTAGCCGTGTGGTCCCCACCTTTGACGCGTTAGCTTCTGAGTCTCCCTGCTTATCTGGGGCCTCTTCCCCCACTGAGTCACCGGATACTGAGGCGACCATTCTTGAATCGTTTGGGCGCTTGACTCCTGATGGGCCCTTGATTCTTGATGCCCATGCTACCAGCGCTGCTCACTCCCCGGAGGCCCCTTCCTGCAGGGCCGTTCATGCTGGGGACCCAGTGGGGGAGAGCCCGGGTGTCGACGCGGAGGCTAACAGTATGCTTCCGCCGCCAGAAACAGCATCATCGAGCCCCTTAGCCCCTGGTCTCCCTGATCAAGATGTGGTGTTTGCGCTGGACGATTTGAGGGTGCATCTTCCGCGTTCTTTGCTAACGTCTGAAAGGCTGCGGGAGTCCTTCTTGGCGCGGTTGGTGCGTGTCACAGAGGACCTGTCAGAGAGGGAAGCTCAGGATCCGGAGGGCCTTCGAGCTCTAGGGGCGCTCCAGCCGAGGACCACTGCCTGCGGAGCCATAAGGCTTGAGCCTCGGGAAGCTGAGGGCTTTGCAGCCCTCGTAAGTCACCTCAAAGGGGAGAACCCGCTAAACCTCAGCGGGCCCGCCTTTGTGCTGCAGACACTCGTGCAGATGCTTGCAGATAGCACTTACTGGTGCATTCCTTGTGGTCCTGTTTACCTTCCTCTTTTTTTCTGGTGCTCAGAAGCTTGGGTTGATGAGCTTAATGGTGTTTACGCAGTGCACCCTAACGAGCGGGGCGCTCTGGGGCCTCTGCCTTGGGGCGAGAGAAGCACTACTTGTTTCCGGAGGCTCAGCCGCCTCCCAACGGCTCCGGAGCCTTTGAAGCCTTATGTTAAGCACACAAGGGCAGACATTCCGGCAGAGACAGCGGGCGAAATCAGGGGGCCTGAAGCGGCCACTAGACCTCGTGGGGGTCTAACACAGACCACTTCACCAGTGCCCTGGCAACTGACAAGGGGACAAGGCGACGACAGCAATGACGCCTTTGGCTGGCAGCAACACCTGAAAAAGTGGCAGGAAGGTCCTGGGGGGCCCGCTGCGTCTGACTTGGACCCGACGGCGCTTATCAAAGGAGCTCAAGCAGGAGCGGCAGCAGCTGTGGCTGCGGCCTCTGCTGTAGCAGCGACTGCTGCTGCTGCTGCTTCCACGGGCTGGACAGCTGCAGTAAGAAGGATGGGCATCGTTGCTGCTTCTCCCAGAGCACAAGTGAGCCCCACAGACGAGTTGTATGCAGCCGAAAAATCTCCCGCCACAGAGAACATTCAAGCTGCTGTGGCTTCCTCGGCACCGCCTAGCCTCGAGCGTAGTGCTTCCAGGTTGCGGCCACCTCAGCTGCACCAGCAGCAGCAACCACAGCCGTTTCAGAAGCCTCAGACTTCTCCTGGTTTTGCAAGGAGCCCCATACGCCGCCTGCGGGAGGCTTTTCAAGTAGACAAGAGCAGCCCTGGCTCTGGGTCCCCTCATGCCATCTCGGCAACTGCCGCTGGTGGAAGATGCCAGGATTGCCCGCCGCCTTTACGTGGCCACGCATCAGAAAGGCTCTTGCTGGAGGGGCAAGTTGAGGGTCTTGCTGACGGCTTATCCGCCATTGAATACTTCAGCTGTGCGCCATTCCACCTGGCATTGGACCGGAACCAAGGAAAGTTGCTGTTGGCTGTAGACGGTTGCCGCTACCCGCACATACAGCACGCTGCTCAGTTTTCAGAAATGCCTTTGAAGGCTCCCACAGCCTTCCGGGTGGATGAGCTCCAGTGGCTCCTAATGCTTAATGCCTGCGACTACCTCGACATCCAACTCAGCGGCGTACCCTGGACCTCCGTCGAGAAGCAGAAACGGGCCAACGGTTTCGACAACTGCGGGACAGACAACTCTGACACAGAAATTGAGGACACAGAACGCAGTGCTGCAGTCACCACTGCCGCCCGAGCCGCCTCAAGGGGACTCCTGCGCCCGTGTGGAATGGCCGCGGACTCTCCAACTTCAAAGCAGGTGTCCCAGAGTGAAACTGCCAATCAGAGGGAGCTCTCCACTACTGTTGCGGCTGCTAGTGGTGGTGCTGTGCCGTCCGCTACTGACTGGCAAGGCGCGTCAAACAGGACCAGCTCAGTTGTGGGCGCAGAGGACATTGCAGCAGCAGCAGCAGCAGCAGCTGCCTGGAAGGATTCCCCTGCAAATCAGAGGCAGCTCCAACTGCAGCGAGCTCGAATCCCACCTCACCGAATCCTCTGTTGCCGCCTTAAGACCTGCAGCAACTTCCAGGGGCTCCATATGGTGTGCGTTCATCCTTACGGCCACGTCGTTGTCCCTTCTTGGCCCTTCACATCGGCAGCCTCGCGGTCCTCTGCCTTCCAGTCCTCCATAGTCGCTGTTTCCTCTGGCCTCTTTACTCGAGCAGTCAAACAGGCAAGTTTCTCGATTCACAATTGAGGGTGCGCTCATAAGCTCCAATTGTAGGATTGTTCTTTTTTATTCGAGCCGCATGCGTGCCAAGCTAGGCAAGGCTTCCAATATGGGCAACGTGCGTTCTGCTCTACTGCCCGTTCTCTATTCACAATTTTAAGGTGTGGGGTCGCACTGCGCTGCTATTTTCTTGCCCGAATTCAGCCGTATCTGCTTCTGCTGCAGCTGCTTTCTGCTGCTGCTGATACAGCTGACACTACTGGTAATGTTGCTATTTGTGATGCTACTGCTGTTGCTGGTGTTGCTTGGACCTCTCGGCAGTGCAGCTAATGATATCGCCATTCGACCTGCGGTTTGTATGCAGGTGCAGTTTTACCCTTGGGGTATCTTTGCGTTGTTTGCCGATGCCCCGGCATCTAGAGTGTTTAATTCATCGGGTATTGCTCATGGCCTCAGTCTGGTGATCGGGAAGGCGATGGTGTTTGGACAAACGCCTCGAGACATAGCAGAGAAACGCGTTCAGGTGTACATACACCAGACTCAGCAGCCCTATGCACCGCCTTTGAAGCCTCCAGACCTCAGTAGCATACACGACGTCATCAAGGTCTGTCCTTTCGTACCCCCTAAAGAACTGCAGGCCTACAAGACGGAGCACGGGGTCAACAGTGACCAGGTCAGCCGTTCTTGTCTGTTCTTGTTTGTGTCTGTTCCCAGGTTTTAAATTCCTAAGTTTCTCGTCCCGTCTTTTCACTTTCAGGTTCCGTTGTTGTTTGTTTGCGCCTCTTTGCGTGTTCGTAAGCATGCTTGTGCAGCTGTCTTCGTTTCTTTTTTGGCGTCGTCTGTCCCTGTGTGCCTGTCCCCATCTTCATTCCCGCCTTGTTTTCCCCCGCGTATTGTCTTTGTTTGATCTTTTCGTTCCTTTCTCAGTCATCCTGTTCCTGTAAGCTGCTAAGCTCAGGGCTGTGTTGCTCGCAGATTCCGATGAGGGAGTACCACCGCATGCTGCGTCTGGCGGTTTCCGTCTGCGGCAAATTGGTGGGCGTTATTTCAGAGGGGGATTTCACTCTGGGCGTCTCCCGCAGCTGCTGCATGCAGCCTCAGCCCCTTATTCCTACACCCGATATCACAAGCCCCACTTATGAGGTCGTGCCGTCAGGGTTTCCAAACCCCAAGGAAGGTCTCTTCTCCTCTCAGCTCATCGGCTACTTTGATATTCAGTCCGGTCAGGCCAAGCCCGAAGGAAGCGTAGACTCTAGTTCCTAAGCAGAAAAGCCTGAAGCCTAAACGTCAAGCACGAATACTTTCGCAGGCTTC